CCTTCTAGGCTACACTATGCGTAATAATAAATCAGATCAAAACGGACAGGAATTTCAGAGTCTAACTTCTGCGTTGATTTCTTAACATGTTTCCACCATGTTGCATAGTTTACCACAAATTACCACTACCATAATGAGCCAGGTGCGGACAGGCTTGTGATGTCATCAGTGTCCGAAATAACTGCCTGCCCAGCTGCCCGTGGCTGGTCATTTTTTTCGGGCTGCATGAAATTTTCCTCCACCTACCCGACTGTCTAGCAGATTATTTTAAGACAACTTACGTATTCAGTTTCATAATAACGCCTTGTAGAATCTCAAGGAACCTATTGCGTTTCATTTGAGTGAGTGAGTGAGTTGGGTTTAACGCCGCTTTTAACAGTATTCCAGTTATATCACGGCGTGTCAGCTTAATGTGGGATAAAAGCCCGAAGTGATGCAGGTCTCAGACGTTTACCACTTCGGTGAAACCAACGAGCACGGGTATGGTGCTGACAAACCTAGAAACATAATTGGGTCGAACCGGGATTCGAACCCACAATCATAGGTTTCTGGTGTGCCCAAGGGACGCAACTCTGCACAGCGAATCGCGGCGCCTTAGACGACTGGGCCACCCGTGCCCCCGCGTTTCATTTGAATCAAGATGCCTTAGACACTATTTGTCTCTCATTTTGTAGTTCAGTTTATGACTGACTGAAATAGTTGCCATTGAAAGTGTAGATCTGTTAAGGAAGCCCCAAGCTGTATTACAGCCATGTGGCTATTTAGAAGCGAGTCTGGACCCAAGAAACCAATGATCAGAAGAGTAATGAACGATTCCTACTGTTCGGTTACGAATCACTTAAATCGCAGATAATGACTGGGAGATACGTTTGTTCTGATTGTATATTATTCAATAAATATAGCGACAAAACAGTTTCCATACCAAATAGAAATCTCTGCATAAAACAGATTCGATTGTACAATTCCGACTATATTATGAGCATGTGTTTATGAATCACTATCAAATAGTAACGCGAAAAGGTGAGCGTATCCTGCCCAAACGGTGGCACCCGTCACAAACACATGCAAAGGCAAGGCAATTGTTCACCTGAAGAAACATGGGAACATATGGTACAAGTCAAAATAGAGAATTGCACCGGAAATAATTTTTGTCATTATGCGTCAAATTTGGAAATGTCCTCCACATGTCTACCATAAAACGTTTTGAAAGCTTTACTGAGGCCTTTAATAATAATAGGCCAGATAATACCTTTTTCGCCAACCAAATGGCATGCTACTAGTCTCGTCCGAGCTCGGGGTACTCGTGAACCTTGAGAATCCAAGTAATGTACATTCGTATTTTGAAGATAATAATGGAAGAGTAACGATGTAAATGAATATTTAATGTTTGAACTTTGCAAACTACACTGTATCTGCTCCTTGACATTAAGCGCCAGATATTATCAGATGTAATATGATAGCCAGGAACTATTTGTATATATCTAGTGTACCCGTTTCAGTAACGGGACCAGAAAGTGTGTTATCAAGTAATTCTAACCAGAGTGTGGAACAATTTCACTTTTGATTAAGAAATGAAGATAACTGTATCAACATTATATTGTTTTGCAAACACACCAAACATAACATTTTTCTTTAGATAATTAACTTCACTGTATAGGTGTTAATTACTGATCATTTAATTTTCAAAGTACACTTTCATAACTTCAAACATTTACTTTTCGTTCTTCAACATTTTTTTTGTGTGTGTGTGTGGCGGGGATGCTAAATGTACTTGAATAGTGATTACAGTAAACTACGGTTATAACGAACACGCTTATAACGAACTGACGGATATAACGGACTTACTTTTGGGTCCCGACTATTTGCTGTTGTTATACTGTATATATGCTTATAACGAACTACGGTTATAACGAACTAAAATTAGTAGTCCCTTTGAGTTCGTTATAACCGTACTTTACTGTATACTAATCCGGACTAATGCCGTTGTTATAGTGCTAGCCCACTGAGAGACCATACCGCAGTTTAACTTGAATGCCCCACTCAGAAACAGTGTACTGACTCCGAGCCGACCAGTCCTTATTTTAGCTCCTTTATGCCGAGCGCCAGGCAGTGTAACAAACAAGTGCCATTTTTTGACGTCTTTTGTTATGACGTGGAGGGGGATCCAAACCCGGATCTTCCGCTCTGCGGGCGCTCTACCTCTGTACCATGGAGTAGTAGTAGTAGTAGTAGTAGTAGTAGTGGTAGTAGTAGTAGTGGTGGTGGTGGTGGTGGTAGTAGTAGTAGTAGAAGTAGTAGTAGTTGTGGTGGTGGTGGTGGTAGTAGTAGTGGTGGTGGTGGTGGTGTGGTATTAGTAGCAGTAGTAGGGGTTGTGGTGGTGGTGGTGGTATTAGTAGCAGTAGTGGTGGTGGTTGTGGTGTGGTATTAGTAGCAGTAGTAGGGGTTGTGGTGGTGGTGGTGGTAGTAGTAGCAGGGGTGGTATAGTGGTAGTAGTAGTAGTAGTAGTAGTGGTGGTGGTGGTTGTGGTGGTGGTAGTAGTGGTGGTGGTGGTGGTGGTGGTGGTGGTGGTAGTAGTAGTAGTAGTAGTGGTGGTGGTTGTGGTGGTGGTAGTAGTGGTGGTGGTGGTGGTGGTAGTAGTAGTTGTGGTGGTGGTAGTAGTGGTAGTAGTAGTAGTAGTTGTGTGGTAGTAGTAGTAGTAGTAGTAGTAGTAGTAGTAGTAGTGGAAGTAGTAGTAGTAGTAGTAGTAGTAGTAGTGATGGTGGTGGTGGTGGTGGTAGTTGCAGTAGCAGTAGCAGTAGCAGTAGCAGCAGTAGTAGTAGTAGTAGTCTTCATCCCTGTTGCCTCAGATTGACACATATTTGTGTAGAATTGTACATATGCAAGCATGTTTATGATATCTGTGTCTCGTCATTTTAAACACAGCCCGATAGTCAGAGCGCGCAATACAAATTTTAAATAATTGGGTACTGGTGACCTTCAGTAGTTTGACCCTGAAATTCCACAAGGCGATTTGAGACATAACAGATAAAAAAAAATCATAATCCAATTGGATCGGTCATTCGAAATTTCTGTGATCCAAGCACGTCTCAGTACTCTTAAAACCAAACACTCACAATTCAATCTTTGATAGATTATAAAAAATAGGTGTTAGCAATCACACCCAGTTGTGTGTGAACGTTAACTTCTAGACGGCTTCACAAACTAACATGGAAACTAAATATTTACTCTCCGTATGTGAATATGTAGGGTATGCATCTTCTTGTACATCCTCTATGAGGATGTTACGTAATAGATACATAAACCTGTCTTTTTAGCTACATTCGTAGAGTTAATCATAAACCTACTTAATGACACGTACTGCCCCAGAGACCAGGCGTTAGAGCAATAAATATCAAGGCCGGAGTTATAAACTATTACTATTACATTTACCGTGATATTCAGTGCTGTCATAATATTAACAATCCTAACCCATGGGCTGTAGTCCTTATCACCCTTTCCATAAAACCAATCGGCCAATCTAATACTCAATCAGCCAATAATAACCTCATGAAATTGGAAGGGATTTCAAATTGATCCTGACATTGAAAAGAAGCCCGATTAATCTAAGGGACTCTTGAATTTTTTAAATGTCAATGATTTTATTCAGTTTGACTTCATTTTGAGCACAAAGGATGTTCTCATTGAAAGGTTGGAATAATTGATTTAGCAGATAACTATCAATATTATCCCATGAATCTAGTCCTCACATTTATGAGTGCGTCGTCCATATTGGAGTATAACAACCGTCTAATTTTTGCCCAGCATACAATTACGTCACTCTAATGAAGACACATTGTCCTCACCTAGGCTATTATATAATACTAATTTGATGACGTCATCCAGGAGATGTCACCTTTCACAATGTAATCTTAGCGTCCAGTCGATGTCAAACAATGGGAGCTACGTTGCGCTAAATACTCGTTGTAGCACAGAAGCAACATGTGATTTACACAGCATGACCTGCAATAAACAGTGGCCATTTTGCTATAGGTATAACCACTGGTGCCCGTCTACAACGCTAGAAATTCTGTGTTTTCGCTGGTGACATCTGTTGGTATTATTGATTGATTTCAGGAGAAGCCTATCAGAAAGAACAGGCATATAAACGATGATAATTATAGCCTGTTGAAATCTCACGATTAACATCTGTTTTGCGAGCAGCAACCCCACTGTGTTGATTTCTGTTCGTATCGGATATGAAAAGCAAGCATTAATTATCTGATTGTAGAAGCTGTAACCACGAGGACACCAGCGACGGAGTGGATCAAAGACACATCAGAGCCGCCTTACGTTGAGGCCACGTCTAAATCCACGCGGCTCTCCGGTGTTATCCCAGCTGTCTGTTATTGTGATATCGGACTGTGGACTTCATGCTAGCCACTGACATCCCACACACCGATTGCCACACGGCAAATACCAGCGCATCAGCATTCACAGACACAACTTGAGATTTGAACTTCGCATAAAGAGAATGGTTAATGTCTGGAGACTAACAGTACCACAGCGTCCATTAATAATGTGAATCAAACCAAATTACGTGGAGTGTGGGTGGTTGTATATGGTCGACACCTGGGGCCAGCATAGCTATTGAAGAGAGAGAGAGGTTATTTATAACACTTCATCGCTGGCTGAACTTTCTCATAGTCTATCATTCCGGGGTTTATTTAAAACAGCAATCTCACTGCCGTATCTCACAGGGGATCAAAACATTTAGAATGGGGAGGATAGCATCTGTATCGTGTCAGACAGATACACACAGTTCAATGTTTCTAAATAATTCCGTGGCGGATACATACCCAGCACGGTAATGACAGACAGCAGTGTAAGAAGTCTAACGATGGATTAAGCAAGACTTTGCGCTGATGAGGTGCGGTCTAAAGCGCCTCCCGATGAGAGAGACTTTGGCATAGTGACAGCATATTGCAGGCAACAACATCAACACATTGGGCACAGACACCTACCTTATGAACATCTCAACCCCTGTGGCTTCCATACACCGTTTGATGCCTTTCCACGATTTCTTTAACTTGAAGACTTGGAGGGCGCTTAACGGCAGCCTAGGATCCGTAGGCGCAGGCGGAGCCGGATCGCAGAAGCCGTCCGCCATGTCTGGAGCCGACGCAACCTCTCTTTGGATCTGAGGGCCACTGCGTGACTGGAGGCAGCCCATCACTGTGGTATTGATCCAGTAGCACACACACATACACAAAGCACGCTGTACACCCGCTCAATGTCGCGCTATGCCACACACCTTTCTGTCGACATCATGACAGATAAATGTTGCTTTAACAAGGCTACAAAGTGCCACATGGTTTTGTCGTTCAGATGTGCATTTAAATCCGATATGAATGTCCTTGTTAGGTAAATCCGTTTTATTATACCTGGAATATAAGGGAGATATGTTTTATTTCCGAAATACACATACAGTTACTAGTCGTGACAATTTACTGATATAAATTAATGATTTAAACTTATTTCTGAATTGTGGTCCATCCTCTACCAAAAGCCAATAATTAAGACGTTGATTGAAGGCCATGATGTTTACGTAATGCTTTTAGAGTAACACATAGTGCTCATATGTTTATATTCAATAGGGTTGAAACTCGTAATAATATGCTGTTAGAAAGGGCTAATGTCTGAGAACCCTGAAAGAGAATGCAAACATTACCATATTTGAAATAACGGTATGTTGGTGAATTATTGTCTCATTTTGTCAATTGGATCAATAACAGGATATTAGGACAACAATGATGGTCAAAGTATTAGGACAGCGCGTGTGTTTGCGCTAGAATAATACATGCCACTATATTACAACCAATTGCAGGTTCATAGCGAATAACATACTGTGGCATTCTGTAGCCGTAATGCTTTATTCATGTATTGTTTTTAATTGATGGAATAAAGCAACAAAACCCTTTCCATATCCAATAGAAATCTCTGCATAAAGCAGAGTCGATTGTACAATTCCGACTATATCATGATCATGTGTTTATGAATCACTATCATGATACCAGATGAGCGTATCCTGTCCCGACGGTGGCACCCGTCACAAACACATGCAAAGGCAAGTCAATTTTTCAACTGAAAAAAACATGGGAACATATGGTACAAGTCAAAATAGGATATCAACATAATCGGAAAACATTCGTTTAATCCGTTACACAATTGACTAACAACTTTAGTTTCCTTTTTTGGGATGTAAAAGCAGTTTGATATCGGATAAAAAGCTTAGTTTCTTAGATTTGGGGATATGAAAATGAGTTGATTCTTAAAGCATTCATTATGATATACTTGAAAGCTCTGCCAAACCACGGCTTTTAATTTTCATGGACGTTTTCAGTGTAAATACAAAGGACCCGACGCGGCATCTCTATGGCGTATTATAATCATCGGGCGACGTGTATCAACAAGAGTAGTACAAATTCTATTCACAGTAACAGCATTGATTTGTTGTTATACAATTTATTACTTCTATGGAGTACCAAACATATTCATTGTAAGATTGCTCAAAGATGAAACCATTACCACTTTCTGTACAAACATGAAAACATATGTTTAATGATGACCACTTGAAGAACGAGAAAGAGAATGTATTGAATGAGAGAATGTTGAACGAGAGTAAAACATATTGAATGATGGCCACTTGTCAAATGAGTGAGTGAGTGAGATTTTACGCCGCTTTCAGCAATATTCTAGCAATATTACGGCGGGGGACACCAGAAATGGGCTTCACACATTGTACCCATGTCGGGAATCGAACCCGGGTCTTCGGCGTGACGAGCTAACGCTTTAACCACTAGGCTACCCGACCGCCCCTCTTGTCAAATGAAAATATGAGCATGTAAAAGGTTGACCACTTGTCGAATTCGAGTAAAAGCATGTTGAAAGATCACCACTTGTCGAATTCGAGTAAAAGCATGTTGAATGATGACCACTTGTGGATTGAGAGTAAGAGCATGTAGAATGATGACCACTTGTCGAATGAGAGTAAAAGCATGTAGACGGATGACCACTTCTCGAATAAGAGTAAGAGCATGTTGAATGATGACCACATGTCGAATGAGAGTAAGAGCATGTTGAATGATGACCACTTGTCGAATGAGACTAAAAGCATGTAGACGGATGACCACTTCTCGAATAAGAGTAAGAGCATGTTGAATGATGACCACTTGTCGAATGAGAGTAAGAGCATGTTGAATGATGACCACTTGTCGAATGAGAGTAAGAATATGTAGAACGATGACCACTTCTCGAATAAGAGTAAGAGCATGTTGAACGTATCAACTTGTCGAAAGAGAGTAAGAGCATGTTGAAAGATGACCACTTGTGGAATGAGAGTAAGTGCATGTTGAATGATGATCCCTTGTCGAATGAGAGTAAGAGCATGTAGAACGATGACCACTTCTCGAATTCAAGTAAGAGCATGTTGAATGATGACCACTTGTCGAATGAGAGTAAGAGCATGTTGAATGATGACCACTTGTCGAATGAGAGTAAGAGCATGTAGAATGATGACCACTTCTCGAATGAGAGTAAGGGCATGTTGAATGATGACCACGCGTCGAATGAGAGTAAAGCATGTTGAATGTTGACCACTTGTCGAATGAGACTAAAAGCATGTTGAATGATGACCACTTCTCGAATCAGAGTAAGAGCATGTAGAATGATGACACTTGTCGAATTCGAGTAAAGGCATGTTGAATGATGACCACTTGTCGAATGAGAATAAAAGCATGTTGAATGATGACCACTTGTCGAATGAGAATAAAAGCATGTTGAATGATGGCCACTTGTCGAATGAGAGTAAGAGCATGTAGAATGATGACCACTTGTCGAATGAGAGTAAGAGCATGTAGACGGATGACCACTTCTCGAATAAGAGTAAGAGCATGTTGAATGATGACCACTTGTCGAATGAGAGTAAGAGCATGTAGAATGATGACCACTTCTCGAATGAGAGTAAGAGCATGTTGAATGATGAACACGTGTCGAATGAGAGTAAGAGCATGTAGAATGATGACCACTTCTCGAGTAAGCGTAAGAGCATGAAGAATGATGACCACATGTCGAATTCGAGTAAGAGCATGTTGAATGATGACCACTTGTCGAATGAGAGTAAGAGCATGTAGAGTGATTGCCGCTTCTCGAATGAGAGTAAGAGCATGTAGAATGATGGCAACTTGCTGAATGAGAGTAAGAGCATGTAGAGTGATGGCCACTTGCTGAATGAAAGTAGGAACATATTGAATGATGACCACTATTGGAATAAAAATAAGACATGTTCACTGATGACCACTTGCTGAATGAAAGTAAGAACATATTGAAGGATGGCCATTGTCAAATAAATATAGGAACATGTTGAATGATCACCACTTGCTGAATGAGAGAAAGAACATGTTGAATGATGATCACTTGTCAAATGAGAATAGGGACGTCGGTTGAGGGAATGATAAATGAAAATAATAACAAGCTGATTGACGACTACTTGTTGATGGAGAATCGGAATAGGCTGAATGATAACCAATTGCTATTTGAGAAAACGAACACAGTGAACTACGACTGCAGCTACTTGCTGAATGAAACAAAGAATGTTGAATGAGGACCACCTTCTGAATGAGAGTAAGCATAAAATGAAAGAGCCTCTCCCACTGGCTCTTCACTCATTGCAAACTAGGCGATTGTCGTCGCCAACCGCCACGGCTACAGCTTATCCAACTTTTCGATTTTCAAGAAAGAAATGAACTGTTTCTTCGGTGGGAAAATCAATGCGAAGTGCCCCAAGCCGTGATGAGACTTGAGCGGCCTCCGTTCGGTGTGCCTCTCCCATCGCCATACATCTCTACCGGGGCAGCGGTTACGGGGTCATGTCTTGCTTAGATTAATTCGAACTGAATATCATTATCTCACAGTTAAGTATCTCATTTGGATTATGCCCAGTGCACCTAATTCAATAGGTTTTTGTAAATAAGAACACATTGTAACTTACATTTGTGTTTGACTTTGTTTCAACTGTAGTCAGATAAGATTTTACCAATACGTTCATACATTGTCTTATAGTTTATGTACATACATTTGTACATTCATGCTAGTGCTAGATCTAGTTTCTTCTACTGCCACAGTAAACAAATAAACCAATTAATACCAAAACTCAAAAGCACTTCATTTTTGGTGATTGTTATTCATGAACAGCCAAGCTAGGACAATTATATCATATCTGCTGTTATGACTGTATAATACATACTATTTTCTGCTCGAACATGAATGAACTGGATGTCATTTTATACATATACAGGTTAACACAACTGCTGATGCACTATTCATTAACCTGTTGATTAACGCTATTCACTTAATGCTTCAATCAATAAATTCACTCAACTGTTGATTAACAAACCTCAATCGCTGTCTCACTACCCACAAAATATTAACTATATTTACAGAAGTGTTTATTTACGTAATTCACTGAGGCGTTGATTCACTAAATGAATTCATTAAATATTTAATCCAAAATAATTCTCTAAAGTGCTGTTTCATCAGATTCACTAGCAGTTGATATAATATATCCCTTAATCCGATCATTAACAACAAGCTATACATTGTTCATTCAAAACATCCACAACAGCGTTGTTAACTCGATTCGTCGCATTATTTATTGATTAGTTAAAGTTTAAAAAAATATTGATGCACTCGAGTCACACAGTATGTTAAATGTTAACACGCGTGACGGACGGAAAACACCATTAGAGAACATTCGTGTGCGTAGGCGGATCAACTAATGGGAACCACACAACCATTGCACGAACGTCCCATGTCCGCTATTATCCATACGTATCTGATCATTAGCTATCATTCCTTGGTATAAGGTAAAGGTGAGGTGAGGTGAGGTGAAATTGGGTTTAACGTCGCGTCCAAGATTATTGCACTTATATAGCGACGTGCATGCACGTGTGTGGCTGCTTGTACTAGTCTGGACTGATGCCGATTTATAGTGCTAGCTCACTGAGATACCATGCCGCAGTTTAACATGACACAGTATACTGACTCCGAGCCGACCAGTCCTTGTTTTAGCCCCTTAATGCCGAGCGACAGACAAGGTAACAACAAGTACCATCTTTTAACGTCTTTTGGTATGACTCGGCCGGGGATCGAACCCCGGACCTTCCGCTCCCCGGGCGGACGCTCTACCACAAGACCACGGAGGCGGCATAAGGTAAAGGTATGTTTATGTCAAGGATGCATTTATCACAATGCATGCACCTTCTGAGACTGAAGCATACCGGAAGTTCCTTAACTATGTTGGAGCACTTTTGCCTGATCCAATCCAGTTCATGCTATGTTACATGTCCACTGCTCGTGAATAATAGTGCCTGAAAGTACAGAGGCA